TATATATAAAATATATAAACATTTTCAACAGTCGCTTCTGATATTGTTATTATCTGTTGAAAAAGTTAAAATCATACAGAAAATGCCAGAAGACTGTGCGTTGAGAATAAGGATCGTTCAAACCTCATCCAGCCTCACCAGATCTTAAGAGTTCTCTAACTGAGAGGGAAACCCCTTACTTCACCAAAGCACTGCTTGGAAGTTGAACATTTTAACCCGGTAATGATGCAGATGCAGACAGAAGCAGCACAAAGCCGCACCAATGCAAAGCATTTGATAGCGATGTCATGAAATAATCATAATAGAGGCTGCTCCGAAAGATTGCTTGAGTCCATGGGAGAACTTGCAGAATTTAAACAAATAAACACACACAAACACTGCGGAAAAAAAAAACCCAGCCTTCGTTTGCTGAATCCCTGGAACCTGTACAATATTTATTCCCCTAAAACCGCAGCAGAGCAAGGCTGAAAGTGGGGCGATAGTGCTGGTGCACTGTGCGTTGTCCTCCTTCTTTGTTTTCTCATGCCAGACGTTAAAATAACAATGCGGTACAGTGCTGTAATTCTTATTGCAACACCTCGCTTAAATTGACCACAACATTATGTACTAGGATGTTGGATACTTTTTTTTATGACCGATACCAGTATGAGGACTCAACTTTCGAGAGACTGTTGTGTTGTTATATTTTGATGTTATTATGCCATTGAGAACGGACAAGCTAGCAAAGACAGTTCCCAGTATGAGCGCAGCTTCGCTACTGCAAAGCATCATTTGATATGAATACCTCTCGGAGAGCATTATTATCGATATTATGTATTGTTTTATACACGTCTAATGTCGGATCAGATTAGATTGTGCAGGCATACACCTTGTAGTGGCTGGTGAGGGCAAAAAATTTGCAAACAGTCCCCCCCCCCCTCTAAGGATGACAATGATCCGTAATTGGCTTCATTGTTTTCCCCAACAAAAATCCCCGAAATTGTGACTGAATCTTTCTCAGCGTTGCCATATGAGGATGTACAACAACATAGTGCATTGTACAATATCTGGGCGCAAATATAAAATGAAAGTGTCTCCACAAAAAAAAAAAAAAAAAAATGGTATCAAGTAATTGGGTTCTTTATGAGAATATGAGAATTTAATTAAAGTGGGTGCCTCTTGCTGCAAATAGAACTAATCTGTAATTAACTGACAAGCAAACAGAATTACAACATATCAATAAACGCTGCTGGACGTGTACTGTTATATTTAAACACACACACACACACACACACACACACACACACACACACACACACACACACACACACTTGAGGAGAGATCAGAGTGTTTCATTAGTGAGGTGCAGATAGATAACCCTCCCAAAGGAGCCATTGACCAAGAGGCCATTGATCTACTGAGCTAAGCTATTTTGTGTTCTTGTGTGTGTGTGTGTGTGTGTGTGTGTGTGTGTGAGTGTGTGTATAAGGGTGACTAAAGTAAGTACTCTACTTATGGAGTCTTTAAGTTGTTAAAGTAAGCAGAGTAAATGTAATCCAGTTGTGTTTAATGGAGAGCGAAAGAAGCAAGCTGTCGGCATATTCATTAGGTCCATTTACTCTGTCCAATCAGGACCAGCCAACCAGAGCAACCAAGCCACCATCACTGATATTTATGCTCAGGATAACCACCAGCAGATTGATCACCTTGAAGTGATAAATAAAATGAATTCATGAATTTTACCGAATGACAGTGAGTACGTGCGGGGCTATCATTTGATCTACTGGCAGGAGAAGTGAAGTATAAATCAATCTGGCCAACACTGCAATCACAGTCTTATTGATGACTCAATAAAGATCACTGGCTCAGAGGTTGTAATCATCATTTATGCTAATAATATAACAACGGCACTAATTCCTATGATGAATGTGCTGTAAACAAACAATCAAGCGACTAGAAAGTGCGTAAAGTGATGCGATCTCCAGTGTGCATGCTCCAGTGTTTCCCCGTCTCCATGTGGCGGCCTTGTAATTAGCTTTGCAGCTTGTTGTCTTACATTGGATGTGAAGGTAATTGGGGCTCTTGGACACACACTCTCAATCTCTGTCAAAGCCAGTGTGTGTTGCATACTGGAGCACGGCCAAGGATTTACTGTGTGCTCAGCCTGCGCCGAAGCAGCTTGTGATTCATTAGTGATGAGTGCATTTAGGAGTGAAATGAGAGTCTGAGTGGCCCAATGGCTGCGTGCATCATGATCGTGTCCACTTGGAACGCTAAGTCTCATGCTACAGTCGCGTACTAAAACAGTACGGCATTATTGTTGGATTTTCGATTGCTCCGGGGGCTTCCACTACTGTAGTTAAGTCTATCTTGCTGGCATAATTAAACGCTAATCAAGGCAGCAGGTAATAACTCTTTTTCTGGTTTGCAAAGGACCACCGAAGTGTGTTCCTTGGTGCTCATTTTTTTTAACTTGGAGTTTTTGTTTTGTTTCATTTTGAACAGCTGGTTCGGCATGGTTTTCTAGGGTAGCGATCCTCACCCCTTTGTTGCACCATGGACTTGTTTCAGGCAAGTGGCGTAAAAAACATAAAAGTAAACAAACGATGAACCATTATGCTGAATGTAGTTGCACAGTAATTAGTGAGACCTCTATGTCGTGCTCCCCCTTTAGTTTTTTTTTTGGAGTGGCACACATCACTTGCGACTGAATTCAGCTAAACTGAGAAAGGACCAGATCATTTCTGGAGAATCACTCCTGAAGGGATTCCATCCAGTGTCTTGTTCGTTTGAACCAGTTGTTCGCAGGCTTCAAAACTACTTGAGTGACAAATGTTTTGTTTTGTTGGGGTTTTTTTTTCATATCTGTGCTCCTCAGGTATGGTGCAGGCCGTGGAGAGAACACTCGCAAGGGAATTCCTGGTATCCGCCAACTGACGTACGTGGGCATGACTCCATTGTAAACTTCTACCGTGACAGTGGCCACTTGACTGACACCCATTATGTCTTCCAATGAGCTAAATCACAAGCGTCAAACATTTGCGTCTGCTATGCCCTGCGCTATCCAATTTGCCCCTGATTAATGAATCCAAGGAAATTTGATATTTATTCTGTTAAAAGCCGGCCACTGGCTTGTACTACATCACTGCAAAATGCACGGTACACAAATGTGCAGTAGCACACTTGAACTAGGTGCACTTTTAAGATTCACAGTACGCACGCACACCCGACTATTATGTACCTCTTCATACAAATATATATACAGGGTATATACCTTTTTCATCAGCCAAGAAGTAGACCATGGTTGCCACGGGAACAACAGAGATGCTACTCTTCCTGTTATAAGCCAGTGTACCATCAACATGATGATGATGATGATGATGATGATGCTACTATTTCAAAGTCAAAGAAATACACTCCCATGGCATGGTCTATTTAGATTTGACAGACAAAAGAAAATGTTTCCAATGAAATGATGGGGATTTGGGGGAATCAGATTTTTGCTATAAAAGTCAAACAATCATCGTTTTGATTTTTGACAACTTTTCCTGTTCAGGCTTGGGAGGAAGCTTCCATAAAATGATGAGTCACAAGAGGAATAGGATTCAGCAGTTCATCACTGGGTTAATGTATTAAGTAACTGGTAACCCTGAAGAAAACACCACTCAAACTTCTTGACTATGAGGCAGACACGCCAACAACATGATGGACCTGAGAATTCACAATTTGGAATTTGTAATACATCAATGTCCGGATTCACCCCAAAATGGAATGTTACTAATTCCATTATTTCACAAAATATTGTATCCAAAAAGCCTGATTTTCTAAATATATGCATATTAAAACGTCGTTGTTCACCCCCCCAAAAAATGTGGAATTTGATCCAACTGGTCACAACCAGGACCGCATCTGCCAGAGTGCCAAATTTGACGGGCAGTCCATTTGTCGTGTTCTTAGCGAAGTCTAGGTTTTTAGATTAATTCAGAAGATGCAATCTGATTAATCAAACTGCAAATCAAATTTTCAGGTGCAGACAGGCATGCCCATGTAAACATTTCTGAAATGCCAGAAACAAAAAGGATTGTGA